GAATCTTCCTTGGCCTTTTGTTTGGCCAGAGTGAGTGATTAGAAAAGAATTCAGACACATTGTGTGTGCGCAAATGAGAGAGAATTCAGTTATATTTTATTCAAAAATATGTTTTGTGGTCAAGTGCACACTGTATATTTACACAGGAAAAAAGCAGCTACAATGGACAATGGCACTGAAACCGAAGAAACCACAAGCACTTGTTGCAGAGGTCACTTTGGGGGTAAATTTCACGTTTTCACACATGCTGTGAAGAATTCTGCCATAGAAAAACACCAAAACAGAGAAAATTTATGTCAACTATGGATCCCCTAAGTCGAAGCTGCTAAATGGCAGTAAGGTTACATTGCAGCAGGGTGTGTCTCTCTGAAGGCCTAACATGAGAACATGCCTTTGAATACATCTGATATCTTACTTGATGCACTCTGACCTTTGGCAGTACGCAAAGAGAATGCACAACTAGGGAATGCTGTAATCTCAGCTGTGTATATGTTGAATGTGTGTGCTGCATACCTTGTGTCACTATACAGGACACATGCTTGCATGATCAAATCAAACTAAGTCTGGATCATCTTTTTCCTACCTAATCAGGAATTACTGAGGGGATTCAAAGATGTTTTCCAAGCGGAACTGTGCAAAACACGGACTCACCAAAACCTTAAAGAAAAGGTCAAACTTCTTCCATGCTTCTAATTTCTAACCAAAATTCATAATGAGTTATCTTGTTGCACCTGCTTCAGCTCCCACGCTTTGCTGGCAGTGACTACAAGAGTCAATGTTGAAACAACATCTAATTAAAAAAACACTGTTACACATCCAAACTGTTGGCTTTCAAATAAAGACATCAGCAAAAACTTTAGTAGGACATTCCTGCCAAAGACGAACAGGAGAGCTGTTCTGTCTCCGGTGGCAAGCCTCTCCTCTTGGAGACAACAGTGTGTTTGGAAAGCTGTTAATCATGTGGCAGAAATGGCCACAGTCACAGAGTCCATCTGGACCCAGCAGCCCCAGTCCCAGTTCCAACCCTTGTTCCCATGCTGCCAAGGTCCAGCTGTGCACAGTCTCTCATCAACACTGACAGACACCTCTTTGTGTGAGAGGACATAGACTACGACTGGCTATAAAAAGGGTACTGAGAGAACTGTAGCAAATGGAACATTTAACAAGTGATTAAAGGGAATGATGGGGGAGGAATATGGAAAGGGGTGGCGGGGTGGCACAGGGGAGAGACAGAGCGTGCGGTACGGCAGAGACAAAAAAATAAAGGGAAGCATAGGAATTAAGACACAGACATTAACTTCCTCGTTTCCTTCCGTTCTTTATTTGTCTGCTCAGTGAAGTTCGCACATCAGCTGGCCACATGTTGAACATGCCTCATTTCACACCCTCGCTCCTAAGTGGCACCAACATGAGGAATGCAGGGTCCTTTCCTCATGATTAAGTCTCCAGATATTCTTCTGACTATTACTTGCATGATCATGAGTCATTGTGCAACGATCTGAGGTTTCTATCAATCATGTTCACTTCCTGTCTTGCCTGGATGACAAGCACAAGCTGCATTTTCCCTAATTTGGGGTGGAGGTCTGTGTGTGAGAGGAATACATACGCCCAGGGTGAATAATTCAACTCCTGAGTCAGCACGGAAACATTAGACCTCTCTCCCCTTTATAAATGTTTGGCCAAAAATAACTAGAATTACAAGCACCAAGTTGTAACCTCGAAGCACATTGTTAACTCAATTTATAGATACTTAGAGGGCTTTAAAAACCTCACATATGTGTAAAACAACTTGTAACAAGGCATTAAAATTAGGATTTTCCAAGGTTGTTAAGAGACAAATCAACAGACTAATCCAATATGGAGATAACCAGTAAGCAGTAATTCTGTCCAGTACAGATATGCTGCAGCCAGGGGGGGGTTCTCCGTGTCAGTAGGCCAATCCCGATGATTCATACCTTCCAATACTGGCGGAGACCCAATCAGAAATTAAAACCTGAAGAACTTCATAACTGCAGAGAGAAGATCCTAGAAGGTGGTATCTCACTAACTGTGGCTGGCCAGCAGAGGTGCCGTAGAAAATATAAACACAAGGGGTTTCAGGCAAGAGATCTCCAACATGGGCTTTGTGAATGGTTTTGAGCTGAAGTAATTGGCACAGAGAGGGTACTAAGGAATCTTTTCCAGGTATACAATTCATTATCACCTCAAAAAAACGACTTCCTCTCCATAAATGCTACAGCACCACATGTATCTTTGATACAATCTTCATGTTGCATGACAGTTTGACGGGCAGAGCTTCTGGTCAATGTTTCCTCTCCAGACCTCTTCTGTCCTGCCCTGGCCTGCCCTCTCCTCCGCTCTGCCGCGCACCACAGAGTGGCTCCAGTGGAATGTGATGACCATAGACCGGACAAAGCCCCACATTCATGGCCCCTCGTCCCACTCTAGAGGTTTGCGACTGGGAGCCTTGATCACAGAGTGGGGGATGGCCTGAGTCCATCCACCCCCTCGCCTGTCCTGTCAGACACGCATTGCCCACCCCTGAACCAACACATGACTGCCTGTCGCCACATCAGCCACACACCCCGATCTTCTGCATTTCATTTCATTTTCTTCACTTCTTTTACTCATGTTGTTGTGGAAACACACGTCGAGACAGGATGCTTCCTGCTAACTTAATATTTTAAAGAGCCACAATGAAAAGTAGCTTGGGATGTTTCCTATGTCTGATTTGATAAATGGAAAGCATTTGGTGTAGTGTCATAGAGAGCAAGACAATAATTATCTGTGCACTTTGGAAACAAAACAGGTGGGAAGAAATGGAATTAATTCTGTAACATCTCTTAACCACTAGCAGCCCACCATCCATTATGCTTAATGGTAGCATGGGAGATTTCAAACAAGGGCTGAGGAGCGGTTGACTGCTAGTACTCTAATGTGGAGAGCAAAATTAAGGAAAGCTAAATCAGAGTGTCTGCGTGCACGAAATATCAACTACTTTAGTGCTGGTTTATAGATAATCAATGGAGACCAATAATAATAACAATAATGATGATAATAATAATAATAATAATAATGGTGGAGAGGAAAGGAAACATGGAGCCATGGGGATGATTACATAACAACAACATAACATTTAAAAAGCAATGCACATACATCATCTGCCTGCCTGATTGTCTGTCTCTACTTCCTCTGTCTGAGTATCTAATACCGTATCCATTTGCCTCCTTTGTGTAGGTAATATAATAGAGCCCAGAGAGTACCCTGTGCCTCAGAGGCTTTTCCACTGCACTTGCACATATCAAACTGCAAACACAGTTGTTACCATGCAACCACACACAAACATGCAGGAGGCATGCAAGCATGTTAATGGGTTCTTATTGCTATGCAACATGTATATTCTTGATTGGCATTACAACTTAACCCTAACCCACTGCAACTGTACTCTACTCTACTGCTGCTCTACTTAAAGGATATGTCCAGTGATATTCTATAGTTGTCTTATTGTCAATTAATTAATTAATCAAAAGACCTCTTAACAATGACTAACTCCCAATAGGTAAAGGATAGCTGCTTAACAAGGAGAGATGTATCATGGCTATAAGAGAAAAAAGTCAGACCACACACCAGCTCTGCAAACGGGATGAGCCCAGGAAGCCCCTGTGATTTTCACATCTGGATGCGCCATTACCTCTGTGGGGGATCTCTAATACTGTCATCAGATTTAATGGTTGATTTCCTCTCTTATGTTCCTCTCCAGGTGTGGCCACCCTCCTCACAGACTGCTCCATCCACAATTCATGAGAGGAAACTGATGCCATTACAATGGCCTGTATATACTCTGACATAGAGAGAAAGAAGGCTGCAAGTCTGGTTTACTCACTGTGCAGTTAGAAGAGCAAGCAAAGCTCAGTAGACTACTGACAGTAATCTTTTAAAAAGAGGAAGCTGGGGAGTGACCAGAGCACTGGATCAAGCAGGAAGCTTGCCAGGTTGACATAGAAAGGGGTGGGTTGTGGATGGGTGGGGGGTTGAAGAAGTGAAAATGCTGGGGCCGGAGAGGGAACAGACAGGGACTTGTTTTCTCTCTGTGTGAATGTTTAGAAAACACTTCTGACCTCCTCCTCTTGTCTATTCTTACCTGATAAGCTGAAGGTCAATGGTGAAGAGTGAAGGCTGTGTCACGGCCTTAGGGAGTGTGTGTGTGTGTGTGTGTGTGTGTGTGTTTGTGTGTGTTGCTTTATACAACATATGTATGCTATGTTTGTTTTATGTTGATGCTATAAATGAGAAAAGCAGGGAAGTGTTTGTTTTGGTGGTGGGTTGTATCTTCAACCATAATTTGGAAGAAGAGTTCCTCACTAAATTAGCTTGGTTATGGGTGCAGACTTATTGTCTGCTTGTTTTATTCGGCAGTCTCTGTAATATATATACTTGATACTGAGGCATCTGCAGGTAACACAGAAAAGGCTGAACTTCTTCCTTTATATCTGCAGTTACTCTTAATCTCCATATTTGGAGAGGATGCTGCTACCTGATTAAAACTGATCTGTGGTTTTGGTGACTTGACCGACATGAATTTCAGGCATAGTTTGTGTCATCCTGTATTTATGTTGCAAAAGAGAAGATATGAATGTGTGAGCCAGAGAAAAGTCCAAAGTCCTTTCTCACTTGCTGATCGATGAAATCCAAGCCCCTGCGTGCTGTCACCGGAGAGCACTGACGGGAGGGTTCAGTGCAATGCCTATTTGGTCTCTTCTATCCAAATGTGAGCATTCACTGCATGTCTCATCAAAGCCAAAATGAGAAAAAGCTGAAGGGCAACACCTCAGCCAAATCACATAACATAAATGATAGGAATTATGATACTTTTCCTTTCCTGCTTGGGTCACTTTTCATCCCCAAACTATACAGCTTTACTGCTGAGATACCACATATGGAAATTTCTTAGATTCTGTGTGTATTTCAGGCCAACAGTTAATAAAAAAGTTCTTATTTATTGCATTTTCATTCCTATGAGCATTGTAGCCTTCAGTTCAGTGTCACTGTGCTCTAAGTGGAGTGGACAGCATGCTTGCTCCCTCAGACATTTCCACTATGCAGTAATTCACAACACACTCTCATGGGCCAGAAGGCAAGAGTATATATAGGCTCTTCTAACATTTCCCTCACGTTCTGAGGCCAGTTGGGAGATTTACTAAGAGGCACTTCTCCAGCAGACACTATCCAGGAGATGAATTTCATACGAGGCCTGGCTTTTCACGCTTTTTGGGGGCGTATTTATAGCAGCTGAGATCAGGGCGGCAGAGGCATGTGGGGTGGCCCTCTTCAACCTAGCCATGTTAAGTGATGCTGAGGCCGCAGGGGTGGAGCAATGACATGTCATTCCATTCTAAATCCAAACCTCCATGTTTATGACAATAGTAGCCTGACCATGAGCCACAAAATAGTGCGCACAGAGGCCTCTTTGAAGCCGTGCCCTTTTAAATAGTGGACACAGAGGTGGTTTCAGGGCAGGAAACATAAACCTGCAAGCCAATAAGATAGTCAGCTTTAGTAAGCGCTAGTGAGCTTGAGATTAAATGTTATGCAGTTACAAGTAAATAGAAGATACACATGTTTAGCTCAATATTGACCTATAAATATTGGATCTAATATTATTTGGGCTCTATTTAGAACAGAACTAAGCATCAGGAATAAATTTGTGATGTAAGTGCATAGAGACTCATAGTTGGACTCACTACACTTTACTGGAGTGGAACAGCCAAGGAGGGAATGACTGAATGAATGAAAGACATAATGATAACACTATGTAATGAACATTATATAATTGTAAGCACCAACCAGATTAAACTTGTAGGCTAATATGTTTATTTTTTGTTTTGGTTTGTGATAAAGACAGACCAGCTGAGTAACTCCTGTCTATGGCTTTGCTTGTAGTGGAAACCAGGCTATCATCTGTCCAGCACTACCTCTTCAGAACAGATTAGTGTAAATGATCCTCATTTCCAATGGTAGGTAACACAACACAGATTATTATTCTGTGCTACAGGGGTTTGTGTGGACTGTGGCATGAATCATTAAACAGGTGACTGTAATCCATACAGACAGCTAGCTTCTTAGGGTGAGGGTGAGCTATCAGATGCTCCCTGGAGACCAACTGAACTCCTCTGCTTTGAAGACAAAGCTCAGATTGCTCACCTTCCAACAATTAATTTGACAGTGGATGACTATGTCTAAAATGTGAACTGAACTACAAAAATGACATTTCATAATTGGAATTGGAAATTAAAATTGTTGTTTAACCTTTAATGAAGAGCGAAAAGCTGTTGCCAAGTTAAGTACTGGACAAGAACAATTTACATGGCAGCATCAAGTCCTCGGAGGTCCTTTATGAGGAGCTAGTGCCAAGGATTTGTAATTTGGGTTTAAATAGATGTGAAAGAGTAGAGTGTAGGAAATGCAGGAAATAGTTGTGAGCCAATAGAATAAAATAAAAATTACAAACATAAAAATCTTATCTACACTATAGTGACATTTATTCCTGTATATTTACTTGAACAAAATAAAAGCACCTGCTTAACATTAATCTGAAAATCCAAGGCAGGGTGTTTCAGTTACCTATGGCAACTGCGTCTGTGTCAACAGAAATCTTGGACAGGCCATCTCCTGCAGCCCAGGACTGTGCTCCACCATTGGCTGGCTCAATGAATGACTTGCAAACTTGTCTATCCATTATGCATGCCAGTTTACCTTTAGTGCATTCTTGAGCTCATTTCCAGGTAAGCACAGCTGAGAGGTAGCCTGCCTGCACCAAGACCCGGAGTATCCAAAGAAAAGCTCTTTTCATCTTGGTAAGACATTTAATTTTCTGTTCTGATGCTTTTATGACATTTTATTTTTGGCTCTTTTACCATTAGACTCTAATGAGCCAAATACATCTTTATAATTTCTTCAGTTATACTTAATTAAGCCATGAGTATTGTACTTTTTGTTCTGTATTAAATGTCTGATCCATTTATCTAAATAAATTGATTGGAAATAGATCAACAATATATCTTTATTTAAAATAAAGAAAATGTATAAGCCAAAAAATGTAAGCTGATATGTAGATACTTAGACTGTTGTGAAAAGTGCACTGGACTCATCAAACCAGGGCCAGCCTGTGGGGAGGCAAACATGGAGCTGATAGGATCCACTCTGACAGCCACATATGCTCGGCCAAAAACCAGCCACTTCCTCCCTGCCATCTCCACCATGGCATCCAGCTATCGCAACGCCCAGGCTGCCTTGGCCATGAATCCCAGTGCCAACCTGTGGAGGACCAATGGCTATTACAAGAGCAGCAGTACCGTCCCCACCCCCTCCTCCATGCAGCGAGAGAATTTAGATCTGGTTCGAGCCAAGACCATGTTCTACCCCTCTAACAGGGCTGCGCTGAGCACCCGCTACACTCCAGACGACTGGTACAAGTCCAACCAAAGCAACTACAGGGAGTCCGAGTCATCTCGGAAAAGTGCAGAGAGACTGAGAAGAGATACGATCAGGCTGATGCAGGATAGGGAGCAGCTGACCAGACGAACCCAGGAAAGTACCAGCAAAAACATTGGCGAGCGTCTCAATGACATTGTCTTCTGGAAGTCTGAGCTTAGCCATGAGATTGACAACATGGTGACAGAGATAGCAGCCCTCAACGAGGTCAAGAGGAGGCTGGAGAGAGCCTTGGCAGAGACCGAAGGGCCCCTTCAGGTGAGAGTAGAAGAAATATGCTAGACTGTTTGTGTGTGTTACTTTGAATTTTTCCTCTCCGGTAAGTAAGTAATATCTGAATTGAGCTGTGTTATTGGAACATTTTGCAGGGAATATTTACATTCCTGCAAGGACAAACAGACAGGCAGGCCTCTGTTCAGTGCCCTCATATTATCTTTCAAGTATGTCATGTCTCAGGGTGCATCACTGTATCTGTGGTGAAACAGTTTTGACTAGGGTTCCCGGTTTGGTTGTAGCAACAGTATCTGTCAGTTAATTAGGTCAACTCAGTGCCCTGTTAAAACGCCACTGGTCGTTTGTGTCACCCACAGTGAGTCACCTTGATCTAACTGGAGATCTGATGACACAGACACCTTGTTAGGCTAAGATCATGTGACAACAGGTTTTCTTCTCCAGGTAACAGAAACAGGAGACTGCAGCTATGCACTCTGTATGCACACAGCGACATGTACATACACAGTTATATACCATACCTGCTGAAATGGGTTCCACCTATTTGAATGTCACACTGAAGAAAATGCTCTCTCTATATAACAATCTAAACTTGTTTTAGTCACGATCACTTTGTCAATAGGTGTCTCAAGAGTGTTTGTACCACAGAGAGAAGCGGATGTCCATCGATCTGGTTCATGATGATGTAGAGAAAGACCTCATAAAGGTAACATTGCAACAGCACTGTGAGTATGTGTGACCTCTCATACGAAAAAGAAATAAGCATGTTTTCATATGTTGCAACAAGGAAGTAGAAGTCATCAAATCATGTCAGGAAAGGATGAGGCGACATCTGGACAGAGCCATTGCTCAGCTGGCGTGAGTCTGGAAAATTGTGTTTAATGATATTTCCAAAACTGTGATGTTTGCTAAATTGATTTGATATATTGTTTTGTTGCTGCATTGCTTTGCGGGATTCCTTAGTTCAAACCGAGCTGCTCAGCATGAACTGGAAAGAGACATAAGTGACAAAGTGACTGCTCAGAGGATAGATGACAGGTGTCACCACCTGAGGAACACATCAGACGGTATCAGCTTCTACAGAGGGATTGACAGACTGGACCCCTCGTGAGTATAATTTTTATTATTAATGTGATCAAATATTAACTGTTCTGTTTCATCACATCAAACAGCTTCTAACAATGCCTCATGTTTGTTTAAACCAGCTTACTGGACTGGGCTGTTCAGTTAAATTGTCAAAAGACAGAAAAGTCTTTGGAAGTGGCTATCTGTTGTCGTATATTGATATCAAACTAGGTTTAAACATACTGTAGTGAGTCTAAAGCTATGCTCGTGCTCTGTGAAGCTGTACAGGCACAGTGATGCTTTGAGCTGAATGAAAACATTTAGTTTGCAGTTAGTTTGTGAATTAGCATGCTAACATTGGCTAATTAGCTCTAAACACAAAGTACAGCTGAGGCTGATGGGGATGTCATTTGTATTGCAGGTCAAAAACTAAAGTATTGGACGAATAAAATGTTTGACATATTGATGGAACTGGATTAAAATAAATAAGGTCTCCAAAGTTATTACAATTCATTGTGAGAGGGTCAAATTTCATGGCAATTTATTCAATAAACATTTAATTTAAAACCACAATGTGAACCTCAAGATGATGCAACAGGAAAAGTTAGGGGATCACCAAAGTCATTTGGCTTAGTCTTTCTGGAAACCATGAATGTGTGCTGAATTCCATGGGAATCCACCACAATACAATTTGAGATATTTTAGTCTGGACCAAAGTGGTGGACCAACTGGCTGATAATGCATCCCTAGAGCCACACTGAGCTATGGCTAGAAAGAATCTGAAAATGTTTTTGTCCAAATCTTCTCCATAAACAGCATGTTAGAAGACAGTGGGAGTATCAGCTTCCAAAACTGTTTGTCATTCTTTTTCCTTCTTTCAGACTCTCTCTGCCAGACTCATGGTCCAAGTTCACTGATGACAACATCCTGCACTCCCAGAGTGAACGCGCTTCCTCCCGCAAGCTCAGGGACGAGATTGAAATCCTGATGAACACCACGTCCAACGAAATGTGGAACCAGTTCAACAATGTCAACGTGGCCTTCACAAACCGCATATCAGAAACCGCTGATACTAAGAACAGCCTGCAGACACATCTGGCTAAGGTCATCACCTTTTCTACATGGTCTCATCTCATAAAACACAATACGGTCCTGTTATGTTTGTGTAACAAGAACACAATTTACAATTTTATCTTAGTGATGTGATGAATCAGAATCTATTTTTTATTTTAGTGTTTTTAATTTATTTATGAGAGATTTGCCTCGATGCGATTGTGTTTCACTGCGTAAGCATGAAAAGTAAAACAGCCTGGATTATAGAAAAAAGGTTTAAAAGAAGCAAGCACATGGCTCTACATCAAGGAAAAAGACAAAATCCATTCACTCTCTTCCCTCTGTGGGTAACTAAATTTGCCACTTATTAGGGAGAGATCATGTGTTTGTACCATTCTCTCTCTTTTCTACACGCAATACAAACAGCACATGCGCTATCTTCACCGTCTGCAATAATTATGCACTGAAGGTAGGGGACATTTGTCTTGTCTGTAGTGGATTTACTGTAAAACATTCCTGTCAGAAGAGAGGAATGATAATAGTTGCCGCATTCATTGCTTATGCCATGCTCTACACTGAATCCCATTGTTCTTGGGTTAATTGCTTGGGGTTACTATTCACATCAGCTGTTGGATGGGTTTGAACACTGACAGCAGCTGTGATGTGAGGCACACAGTCCTCAATAAAACTCAGTCACTGTCAGTTAAGGAGTAGTGATTCGCGGTAATTGAATTACATCAAATGGGTTTGGACAGAGCAGGCCACTGTGCAGCACTGTGTTCAGCTGATTCCAAGCTTGCAATGTGCAGCTTTTTACTTGTTCTCTTCTAGCATTCTTATCTTTTTTTCCCTCTCTTATCAGTTGACCCACCCACTACTTTGCTGACCTATTTTCATGAAGGAGACACTTAAAAATCTATTGTTTTTCTGTAATTTTATCCTGTATCCATCTTGTGTCCTCACCCAGACTCTTCAGGAGATCTTCCAGACAGAGATGCTGATTGAGTCTCTGAAGAAGGCCCTCAGAGACAAGGAGTACCCACTGAAAGTGGCCCAAACCAGGCTGGAGGAGAGGACCCGCAGGCCCAATGTAGAACTCTGCAGGGACAACCCACACCATAGGTACTGCAACTCTGCAATTATAATTGCTTCACCAATGGACAATTGTATATTTAGTGTATATTTGTTTTCTGTGTGGTAAAATTGGGGGTACACTATTGGTGGTACCCTTTGGCAAGCTAGCAGGATTAGCCACACAAAGAGTTTTTCCAAAATATAATAAATTCAATTGCTTGTTCAATAACAACAACAAAAAATGTCACAAATTAAATATATTTCATGAAAAAGCCAACATGTAGCCACAGTAGGTCTTTGTGAGGGCTTTAAACAAACACAGTTGTGTCCTTGCCTATATAGAAGGATCAGCCAATGGGAGGCAGCCAAAACAAATGGTTTAAACTATATCAATATTATACCAAGCACTTATTTTACAGTCTTTCCTTCACTTCTTTCTCTCTCCTGCAAATTTAACAGCAAGCGTCTTCTCTTTATCCTTCCTTGTTCAGACTTGTGAGTGAGGTGAGAGAGATCGAGGACACCATCCATAAGCTTCGGGAGAGGCTGATGGAGGCTGAGAACACTCTGCAGACTCTGGTCAAAACCAAAGTGACCCTGGAGCATGACCTGTCCATCAAGGCCAACTCACTCTTCCTGGAGCAGGAAAAGTGCATGAGCCTGCGCAAGAGCTTTCCCAGCATGCCCCGTCTAGTGGGCTACACCTAAATCTAAAGTTTTTAAAAAGGGGAGGCCTTCCAAAACCAATTTAATTAACTATGAGCTGTGTTAATGGTTTGAAGTGATTTAGAGGGTGGTGTGGGCAGAATTACTAAACCTTACAGGCACTGATTATAAACAATGGATTATCTTAATTTTGAGTATTGTATCAGTGATGTACAAAAATGAAAATAATAAAAAATGTGATGTCAACAAAGAATCAACTGCCATGGTGATTAATCAGGTACTAGTCAATGCCTCCTAATGCTTTAATTTTGCCTCCAATATTACAGATATTTTACATGGTAAATATCCTTGAAAAATTCTGGAAACTCATGTGTTTACACTTGAAAGGTATATTAAAAGCCAATGCTAATCTTCAAAACTAATCACTGCATATACAACTCCCAACAGTCAAAGGGCACCATAACTCTGAATAAACAATCACTGCATATGTTCTTGGACAGAACTCACAGAAATGACATATAAACCAGATTTTCACTCCATTTCTGAACTCGAAACCTTTGATTTATAATGTAAACCTTGCTTTGAACACCATGTATGGCAGTAATATGGTGCAATGTGACTATTCATTCAAACTAGTGGTCCTTGTAGCACATGTGACAGTAATCACCAAACACATAGCCTGTATTAGCTTGTGCAATACTGCTGTCGAAATGAAGACAAACACACACCTCTCTGAAGGCTCAGTCAGATCTGTCAGCTCCACCTGACCTGAATGTCACCTTAGGGGAGTGGTGACATGTAAGAGACTGAGATTTGAAGGACTCCATGCATTCACCCTGAGTCAGATTACTTTGGTGCACACAGAAATATGTATTGTGAAGGACTTTTGTGTCTTTACCATCCTTCTTTAATGGCTTGTGTGGCCCATAACTCATCACCTCACCCACAGGAGGAGCTGGGCAAACAACTTATAAGTTATGTATAAAACCCCACACCCATCTTACAGGACTTGAGCCCCATTCCACTTCCTTCGTCTTCTTCCCTTTGTTCCCTGACAGCTTAATGCTCCAGTACAGAGGGGGGATGGTGTCTTAGGAGTTAAACCCAGCGTGTCCCACACATTTAAAGATGTGGAGAGTAATTTAATTTAGTCAACAACATTCAGAGCCTGAACCAACTTTGAACACAATCAAACACCAACCCAGCCCTTCTACTACTGCACTTTCTGCATAACCTTTGGCTCCACTGAGGAATGTAAACTTTGCTCGAATCACTGTTGTCTGTATAGTAGTCACCAACGTCGTTAAACTGATCACCATTATCCACATCACACAGCACGGGAGTGGTATTATCTCATTTGAAAATACCAACTTTAATTATGTTCCATGTGTTAATTTTTTAATACTTTCCACTGCAGTTAATTTATTTTTCATACCCCTGCTATCTTACAGCACCAGTGGGAAGAGGGTACATGCCAAAATATGTCTCAGAGTGTCTGCAGACAAATTGAATAGAAATTGGAGACAGACGCTAGCTGGACTGGCATAGTAATCAGAGATAAGAGATGCAACCTGGAATCTAAGCTGTAAGGTTATGAAAACTGGTTCCACTTAAATCATTTCAGTTGCTGCTGCATTAAAGTAAAAGCATGACGAAAAGCAACAACTCTTTTGTAAATAGGGTAGTTTCACTATACAGATTCCTAACAGGAGGGAGGAGTGACCATAGAGATAAACCACTCTGTGCATGTGTGTGTAACTTGCACTTTGAATTATGTGTAATGTTTAACAACTGTATTGTAAGTCACAGTCACAGTGAGCTGAAGAGGTCTCTCTGCTGTGCAAACAGCATTGTGTTTGACTAAAACCCTCAGGAGCAAGTCAACGGCAGGAAGTCTCTGCCATGGTTTCCTACATGTAGTTTGTGTGTGTATGTGTGGGCCCTGATAGTGCTACTCCTGTGCCCAGGCACATTCCTGTGCCCTAGTATTGCAAAGAAAGGCCCCCTGTTGTCTCGCTTACATCAAAAGACTCCCTGCTCTCATCACCTTGTGATTAAACACACTGACAGATAGCAAAGAGTTGAGGGCTTTCTACCGCCTTATCTTTCCCCTTTGCTTTCCAACTTCCACCTTTATGATGAAAAAAGAAAATTCATAACCAGGGTACCCATGAAAAGTCAGTTCTGTTAAGTGGAATGAACCCCAGTTTCCCGCTCTCTCATGCTTGGTTTGAGCTTATGGTTCTCTTTCTGGATGTGACACAAATAGGCCTTCCTATTTGACCTCCTCTACCGCCCCCGCATATGGGGAATGTACTCTGGAATTCTCCCCGCAGTCCAAACATATTGGCAGTTTATTTTTAACACCCACTCTTGTTATAGATGCCCTGTGCCACATGTTATTTTGTTTTTCTTGACATACCATCATACCATACTAAAGAGCTGATTGCAGATCACTTGAGACTGGTCAGTCACTCCGGGTCCTTTACCCTGTGCTGTAATTACAGACTTGGACTTGGAGTGTGCATCACTGAAGAAGAAAGTGGTGGATGCTATGGAAAGTATTTGTTTTACTCAAAGTATGTAGGTTTAGAAATACATTAACACTGATTACCATTACATGCACTTGATTCTTACTTTTAAAATGTCTTCATTGACAAATAAATCTGTTGCTTACTTGATTAGATTATTGCTTTATTATAATTGTGACGACTAGGGCGCATAACTCAGAAACAGACACATAGCTACTTAAAGGGTTCGAACTACAGGGTAGCCAGGGGGAGTTTGACTCCTCTTAATAAGACATGAACTCCCATGAAACAGGATTTGTGAAATTTTGGGGGTCTTTAAAATATTGACAATATGCTATTTTTGCCGTGAATTTCTATTTTTCTGTATCTTTATCGTCAGATATTATCTGAGAATTATGTTATTACTGATGTATAATTCATGCATGAGGATAATTCAGAGCAACATTATCATCCTACAGAAGTTGCAGTTCCAATATTCACTGGTCTTTTAGCTCTGTTTTGGTATCCACCAGCCTCTGAGAAAAATGGCTCCTAATGTTGCCAGCTTTCTGACTTTCTACTCCAGCTGTGTGCTGTTGAGCAGTTAGTGTACAAAAGGTTAATCTGAGGTTTCCTTGCAAAAACATGTTTTCCTTTTTCCTAGTTCTGTGGCAAACAGGGTTGTTCAGAGGTTATTTTCAACCATATTGTCACATTAAATGTCAACCTACATTTAAAACAATGAAAAAACAAGGCTTAAAAGCTTTGTAGAGCTGCAAAGTTAGATGATAATTATCATCACTAGTCACTTGGAATAAACCTTATCACGTCACATGTAGTAATTCAGTGTTGTCTGTCGGTTTAGCTGTCAGTCTAAGTCCATTTTTAAAAAAGAGGTTTTCCCTCGCTACATTGCTTTTTGGGAAATACTCTGCACAGGTGATTTATTCATCATATCATTCAATTATGCCAATTACATTTTAAGCCTTTGTCTAATAGCCTGACACAGTATCCATAGTAACCAAGTATTATTAAATTGAATCCTCTTCAAAGCAGACCATCTCTTACTTCAGATGCAAGATCAACTTTATATAACTTTTTACTTTTTATCTTTTTTGTAATTTTTCAATTACAGTGTCCACTTATGTAAATGGAATGGGAATGCACAAATGTAGCTGAGCCATTTTGCCACAATCATAGACTTACATCGGCAACATGAGGATATAAATGTGAATAACATGTAAGATACTGCATGTAAGTAACACATGAATCATAATTGTTGGAAAGATATCCAAATTACCTACAAATCCTGCCATGGCTTTTACTGTAACATCAAGTTTAAATCCCTCTGGCTCATGGAACATTTCTTACTTCATCTCCTGTCATCTAAAGCTGCCCAAGTTTAAACTGAACTCTAAACATTCATGGGAACCAGCTCTTCCTGCAGCTTTTGGACCTGGGCCAGAACTCTGAGTTTTCTCAAGAGTCTGTCTGGCTGCTCCATCGTTGTGCTGTGAAGTTTGTCTTTTACTGTAAGCTATAGGGTAAAACAAGAAACTAAATGTGAATCCGTTGAGTAATCAGACAACTAACTGTTACAAGATATAGGGAGGAAGCTGGGGACACACTGATAAGACACAATATTCTATGTGGTTTTCCATCCCAACTGCCAACCTATTGTACAGAGCTCTGTGGTTGCGTGTAACTGTCTGCTGATCCTCACTCACATGAGAAATCTTTACCTCCTTAAACTTTTAGTCAATCAATATTATATGCCCCCAACATTCTACACATAACTGTGGGGGAGTCATGATAAGTCAGATAAGCCCAACTGCTAACAAAAGTTCAGAGGTCAACCACAAAGGCTGGTACATACAGTACAATGTAAAGAAGAAACAGGTCTTGTGGGTCATTTGTGTTATTGAGTGGAATTCTGGAGCAGTCCATAACATTGATCTGTGAGTCCAGTTCTTGTCATTCTCAATGGAAAGAGGATTGGGTGGATAGTAGAGCGACACAGAGCTCAAGATACAGTACTGCAGTTTTTCCTGCTGAATCATAGTGGGGTGAGGAGTTATGCACTGTCTGACTGAAAGCCCCATTATTAGATTGTTTTTATTGTTTTATCTGGAACCAAGGGAACAAGCACAGAGCTTTTGAGGAAAGAAAACAGACTCAGTTCAACACGGTTGAATAAAAAAGAAACGGGTCAGAATTGCAGTCATTCTCCATACATTTTCCCCTTTTTCATGGATGGTGACCTAATGATTATACCGAAGCCACATCTTCCCCATTTACAAATTGAATGACACAGCATAATGTGTGACTCACGACCATATGATTTTAGACGTGTCAGATGACACGGACCTTTCAGATTCTTCAAGATTACGTTTTAATGCCAGAGATTGCTTAAGAACATTTCCACAAATATTGAGATTTTAGGCTTAGAAGTAGAATTGGGCACTAACCCATAAGCCTAGATTTAATATGTTCTTTGATTATACAGAAATGACATACTGTAGCAACTTTCGTGTGGTTTTAGAGTGAATCCAATCACTTTTCCATTGGCTACATTTCATTATTATCTTGTTAATTTGAGCTTTAGTTTGAACCTGACCCACAGACGAGCCTGTCTGTTCCCACATCACAGGCAATCTGTTGTGTATTTAGTGTATTTTAAGGGACGAGGCTCGGTTTACCCCTATGTTGTTATCTCTGTGTGTACAGTCTGATTAAACTGTGATGACAAGACAAGGGTTTTGAGTAGCTTAAAACGTATCGACACACAAACAAACAGGCGGCATTCACCTCTTGTCTTTCAGCCAGTCTGTCTCCCCCATTTGCTTCTTCTTTGTGTTCCTAATAGCCCAATCCCCATCCTTGTCTGTACAGCTTTTACTTGCAACCACTACAATTTGCATGGTTAATATTGCAATTATTTGCTATGCCATAACTGTAGCATCGTGCGTTTTCTGTCTTATGCTTAAGAACTCTCACATATGTACATGCAAGTACTGTATTTGTGAGTTTGTTTGAATGTGCAGAGCCGGGTCTGTAAACAGTTAGGCTGACCGGTGTCCAGAGGAATCCAATGCGAGTCGAGAGAGGGGCAGTCCGACTCCGACACAACTTCAGTAGGAGGGTAGCTTATTAAAATACTGGAACTCAGTAGACCAACGGACAGTGACACTTCACATGCTGATGAAAGGACACAAGGACTGACCCACCTTTGACCGACAGCTGCCACAGCCTGACACACAAAGCAGAAGGCCCCTGACGCAGATAGGCCTCCCCCTTCTGACCTGTAGGGAGCATCAGCCGGATCCCACTCTCAAAGTCTAGTCGAAAAATATCTGCTGAGTGTGAGTATGAGCCAGTTATTCATCACAGTTAATGGATTGTGGTTTGAGCCAAGATAAGTGAAATTGCATATAATGCAATCAAGTGAAGGAAGGCAGCCTATCACATTGTTTTAAAATCAAAAGGAATGGAATCTAATTGCGTCAAAGGACAAGATCCCATCTTTGGGGATGTCTTTTTGCTGCATTATCTCCAATACCTCTTTATTTTAAAGATCTTATATGAATTCTTTTGGTTGAAAAAAAACCCCCATCATTTATGATAGCTGCATCTGTTTTAACACTCTTTTCTGTATTGGTATGTGGATGGAGTTACTGTAACTCAATCATGTCTACTCTCCAGATTCATGCCCCCTGGCCGAGGTCCTATCTACGCTTTTGGTATGCACTCTCACTGTCTGACGCGCTAACGTGAAGATAAGTCTTACCATTTTAATGACGGAGGTGAAATGTTAGACGCCATTCCAGATGTAACATAATTCAGTATCTTGGTCTGAATGTTTGTTATGTGGCTCTCCCCGGAGAGTTTGGCTTCAACCCCGGCTTCACAAACACAGTAAACTTAACACTCCTATGTCCACTCAGCCCACTGATTGTCAGTCTTTTACAAACATTGACATATAAGGGATGGGAATGAGGAGCGCCTGCACAGCTACTCCACAGTCTTTTACAAGTCACTGTAAACCTTACTGTTGACCAGTTCTCAGCTCATATGATCAGAGTTAAGGCCTGAGTCAACACCAGAGTTACAGTAGATTAAATGCTCAACACATATCAGCTACAAACAACAGAACAATCTGACAAAGAGGCACTTCTACGCAGCTCAGGCAAAGAATGTTACATACTTTGATTACTGAGCAGCCACAGAGCTCTCACTCAGAGCAGCACTTCATGACTGTGATCTGCTCTTGTAACCGTCCTTTTCTTCCGTGTGTGTGGACATGAGCACAGCAGAAAGGCCTCTGTTTCTGTGCGAGTGTGAGAAACCCATGCAGAGGGGTCCAGGAAGCGTGAGCTAAGTGGTGAAGAATAGAGAGTGGATGTTGACAGGGGTTATCTGAGGTCGGACAGCTCTAAGCTCTTCTTTCCAGCCTGCTAATACGAAGAAAGTGCGTGTTTCATGACGTGCTGTCCATTGAGGAAGCCCAGTATTTTCTGTGCAGGGTGTGAAATCAATTTTAGACTTTTTGTGAAAGTGTAGGAGTATGAGTTTGATGACTTACAAAAATAATATGCCTAGTTATCAGGAATCCATAAAGATCACACTGTATTTGGAAATGATGCTGGTAGCATGACTAAAGAAACAATCTGCTTCAGCTAAATTATCGTTGACAGCAGGCTTTGGTTAATCTTGTATCTCTTAAATCTGTGCAGACGAAGATCCAGAAGGATGCAGAGATAAGGAAGTCACTTCATACTTGAAAATATTTACAGTTTTGACCGCTCCCTATACTCCCTGTATATATATCGTGGAATTCCATTCATTGCGACACCCTTATTTATAAGCCTAACCTCAGTGCACACTTTTACATTTATAACAGGGTCTGTTCAGGGTGGGACGCCAACTCCCTCCCACTGGAAATGAGTCATGTCAAACAGAGGAGAGCCACAGATGCTATCTCTCACTGGTGGTGCGCTGGGCATACCCGTCCACACTTTCACACATACTGTGAGTCACAAGACTGACTACAGTACAACCAGAGGGAAAAGACCCTCACTACAACAATGTCTGTGTTTCTAATTGCCAAGGCAACGGAAGCTGAATTTACAGGGAAATATGCATTGTGGAAAAAGTCCAAAATATCTTGCTCCTACTCTACTTGTACTGTAGACATAAACGCAATCAAATTCATGGGAGGCCTATTTTGATAACTAAAACAGCAAATTACCAAAAAGACTATATCTATAATATAATCAAGTCATACATATAAGGGGTTTAAATCAAGCAGTGTAAACAGCTATCTTCTGCCAATTTTGTCAAACATTCCACTCAAATATGTTCTTTTTTAAGCTATCTACTTTATTTATCAAATAAATAATTGTAAAAAAGTATGTTAGATACATTTCTGTTAAATATATTGCAAATTCTTTATAAAGTGAGCAAGCACCAACATCTAAATAAATTTGAGAATTTAATATACTAACAGCAATAAAAGCTAAAAATACAGTCTGGGAAAAAATCCTCGAAAGCAGATAGCTGCTTTTAGTTACCACGACAGCCAAACAATGATTCGTCAGGTCATTACACTCACTACAGTAAGTTAGTAACTAAGGCAACCCATGCGCTATTACGCATGGAGCGTCTATATTGGGAACCCTGGCTGCGGACCAAAGGGTCACTCCATGACGCAGCGACGCACGCAGGGCGTTGTTCTTCCATAATGAGACACTTTATAACAGAACGTCAGCCCTGGCATCAATCTAGTCTGAGAGCCACTTTTAGGACTGAGGAACTACCGCTGTTGGAGTCTTTTGGGGAAAACTTGCTTTTGCTTCTTGCGAGCCTGAATCTCTTTTTTTGTGGAAATACAAGATCCCTGCTCTAAGTAAGTGGACTCTGGTCTCTTCTAAACTTCCTTATATTCTGCTGCATTTAGTCTGTCCTGGCGGATTAAAGAAGGAAACACGCTTTTCGCAGGGATACCCACCGCTCCACTGCGCGCACAGACTGAGGACTGAGGTGCAAAAAGCTTGTCATTAAGCTCATTTGGTCCTAACAAATCATTTTGTCCGGTAATTAATTATCCTAATTAACTTAATTTACGCGGAATTTTGCGATGCCACCTTCTTTTAAGTTGTTCGTAATTCGTTTATAAATATCCTGTAGAAATCAGTGGTCATATTATGTGCATTCCCTACATAAACCGACTGAATATAATCATTTAAAAGCCAATTTAAAAAGGACAGAATGATAGACAGGAAAAGACAAATAAAAACATTGATGTTGAGATGCTTCAAAGTTTAATCCTGTCGCCAAACTTGCTGTTAAATGTAAATGAAAGGCGCATGAAACCATTTTCCCCACATGTAGAATATCAACAATGACTTTCTCTTAAAAGCAACCTTATTATTGTTCATTTACATGCTTGCCATCCGACAGACAGGTCCAGCTGAAGTTTCTCTAAAGGCTGTCCGTTTTGAACGTGCTGCAGCGACACACCCATGTCCCACCACTCTGACATACACACAAACACACGCACACACACACACACACACACACACACACACACACACACACACACACACACACACACACACACACACTCTCACACACACACTGACAGAGACTCTCTCCTCTTCTTATTACTGTCCAGATCATCCGAGAAGATGCTGCTCCTACTACTGGGAATCATCCTCCTGCACGTCGCTGCTCTGGTTCTCCTGTTTGTGTCAACAATAGTCAGCGTGAGTAAAACTATCATGTTTTTTTTTTCTTTCTCTGTTCAGATGCCATTTTAAAAATTAAATATAAATTGGCTTAAAAAATCAACATTGAAGCTTACAAGCATCTTATACCTACAGAGGAAATATAATATAATGTGTTCTTATGATTACTAAAGATGTAATAGTTGTGTCTTGGAATCAGGAATTAAGATGTTTTTTTTCTAATCCATTTTGTGCTGCTCTTCACACATTACTGATCGAGCTGTATGTTGTTGACACCAGGTATGGACATCAAGTGAAACTGGCACCTCAGACCTCTGGTTTAACTGCTCTGCTACCAATGGAGGATACCACTGTGACCCAGCATCAACTGGAGGTCAGATACCTGCATAACACTTAACTATTGCCTTTAAGACAACTTTAACTACTTATTTACTATGTATTTACAACACAGTGGCTAATAATGGACATTTTGATCACTACTCTGCTGTTAAATTGAGATGCATTCTCAGGATTCCACTGATAAGTCCCTTTTCAGGTTTGCTTTGGCAACTGATAAGCTTACTAACATTGAAACCAGTTTAAACCATCCACAGTGATATTCAAGGGGGGCTTGAACTTTGGAAAATTACTTGCTGAAATTTACCATGTTGATGATGTGGGTGTGTCAGGGCTCCTCTGGGACTCTGGTGCCATCTAGGGCAGAGAATGTGGCAGTGCTGTTTTGAAGTGCGAGCTGATAGGCTGCCGCCGTATAAATAGTCGTGGTGTGATGTCCATATTCAGGTCTCATGTTGGGAGCCCATAGTGACAGGAGTTTGGGAGTTGTGGATGATCAGGGTGGGGCTGCAGGGAGTATTTAAAGTTTTAGATCTGTGTGTGTATGTGTGTGACAGTGAGTGTTTGAAAGCAGGGAGACCTTGGACTACCTCATGCAGAACATAGCATGCTGATGGTGGGTCACGCCCAGTGGCAGATCATACTGCCCAGTGTTAGTTTGCAGGGATCACTGGGACAAATTAAGGCAGCAGCTGCAGCATTTAGAGATTTATTTAGACAAAGTCAACCACCTCCACATGTTTGAGTTAGATAAGATCCTGTAAATGTATGGATATGTTGATTGGACACCCCTACCTGATAACATTTCCATTGTCCTAAAATGAATGATTTAGCAACAGGTTAATGTGAGATCACTGTTTAGTAGCTGTATGTTTTGCTACTAAATGTGCCGTCACAGTGGTGCAGAAGGTGCTGGCTGCAGCGAGGTGATGTCATTTGTCTAGAATGAGCCGTGCTCAGCCAGTGTGTGTTTTGTGAGGGCAGCAGCGCCTCCATACTCTGCCAGGTAGTTTGATGGCGCAGCCAGTTTGTTTGACTTGCTTTCATTAGTGCACTGACGCACAGTGTTTATTTAAGGAGGCTCGCGTGTGCCTGGGTCTGTGCTTTGGCTTTGGGAGATGGAAGATAGTGGTTTGCTCTCACGTGGGGGCCAAGCATGCGTTAAAAAGGGCCTTTTGAAGCTTTGCTGAGCAATCAAGTTCCTGCTGAAGGGAATCATAATCATAGTCATCGTGGTTATTTTTAGGGTATTTCTGAAACTTCAGAGTTTCCCCTTGTTGTTGCCTTGGTTACAAAAATATTGGCTGCATTTAATTTTGATAATGAGATATAAGATAAGATACTCATGTCACAGTTGTCACATGCTGAGCTTCAGTTAAACATCACGTCCTACCAGCCAGGAAAATTACTTCAGAGAGTTTACGTGCTCTAAAATTAGCTTTTGAGGAAGAATGTCATCTGCCTCCACACAGGCCTACAATACATAAACACACTGAAGTAAATACTACAGCAGTTTTATTTTTGTTTCTGCTCCACTCTGCACAGAAGGGGTGTAGGGCCTCAGAATAGAAGGCAGAAAGACAGAAAACATCAACAGTTATTTTCCTGTTTGAAATTACAGGGAAAGGCGTGTATGTTTCTGTATTGTAATACCACGATCATAAACCACTGCATTCATGTACATGTTTGAATATGAGTCATACTTGCTTATCAGTGATATTCTGAGCCATGAACCGCACCTCTTGCTAGGAAATGCTCCATGTCACTGTTTCCTACTAGTGGTCAGTGAAGGAAGGAAGGAGGAAGAGATGTGTGTTTATCACAGAAGCAGTGATGTATTGTCGGTATTTATGGGTGAGCACTATTCATAGGACGGGGATGGAACATTTCATCCATTTCTCACAGCGTTATCACACACTGTTATGTAACATCTGCAAACAGGATCATTATAGTGGAACCTAATTGTTGCTCTGGTGTGGTATTCCGCTGGCTGCATTTAGTGGATGGAGATTTGCAGCGTGTCATGTTTCTTCCCATATCTCATCCCCGAGCCAATGATCATCAGGACAAACTGTAGCGCTGTTATTGTAGGTAACCTGACTCCAGACTGGTAACCCCATGCAATCATTCAAGATACTGCTCCCACTTAAATCTATAACAGAGATATTTCAGTGTTTCTCCTGGAAAACTGCATCGATGTGGTACATTTAGTCTCTTTGCAAATGTCCAGAGATAGAATAAGTTACGTGGGCTATGAAGTGTTATTTTGTTTTAGCTTACAGTGTTAAAATGTGGTCAGTCAAATTCATAACATCACCCAAAGTAAGCTGTCTCATAACTTAATCATCCTTTTTCTTCTATGAGCAGTAATAAATTATGCATCATGCCTTTTTTTCCATGTTGTAAGTTGTAAGCCATTAAACCACAACATGCCTTTGATTTACACAATGCAATAGAATCAATAAACCACAGATACTTGAGAATGTTGAAGTAAACGTGTCAGAGATTTGAGTGTCAGAGTTTATAGCGCTACGCATACAAATGGAGCCATATAAAATCCCACTTTTTATAGACTTGTCTGGAATATTTGCTGATACTAGGGTAGGACAGAAGCCAACGGGTGGACTAATGCAATGGTTGCCAAAGCTTTGTGGTTGAACACCTTGTGACATGGCAGCATTTTATGGCAGGGGTGGCACAAAAACACGACAGTAACAGCAGGCGTGGCTATAAAGGAGAGCTGGATAGATACAGAGAGGCGCAGAGTGTGTTTTTATGAAACTTGAGAAGCCAGGGAGGCAGCATGGATAACTCTCAGGCAAGAAATAGGCCCTGCTTGGAAATCCTGAGATTCCTGGAATGGTGGCATGAATGAAGTACGGATGCGAACAGTGAAACACACTCAGATAGATAGCACAGATTGACGGTCTTCCCTGTCAATACAGGTGTCTAATGGGTTAATGGCCCCTTGCAGCCTGGCCTTGGAGGACTAGCAGTAACGATCGATGTAGTACATTTAGTCATGGGTCCTGCTGTGGGGGGCGCACAGAGCTTTTAGGAACAAGATACCTTGGTTTCATTGTTATGGATCCATTACACATTCCCAGAAGTAAACATAGCCATGGGCGAGCTCATTATGTTCTCTTTGAGAGGATGCTTAAATTCAGCAGAGACAAGACTAGTCAAGGTGCACTTTAGCATTTGTTTTTCTTATCTCCTCTTCCCTTCCCCTTCTCATACTCTCATTAAGTGGTGTATATAAATGATGCTTTGGATGATGATGACTGTGGGTCAGTTATTGACAGCACTCCTTTTTCTCCCTCCTTCCCTTGCAGAGTGGATTCAGGCGGTCCAGGCACTCATGATCCTATCCATCATCTTCAGCTGCCTTTCCCTCTTCCTCTTCTTCTGCCAGCTCTTCACTTTGCAGAAGGGTGGACGCTTCTTCCTCACTGGAACCTTCCAGATCCTTGCCAGTGAGTTCAATCTCCGTTGACACTTCCTGGCAAATGCATCGACAACACAACTTAGATCAGATAGACATTACACCGTAACAGGCACATTTGTGTCAACACATAATGTATGAGGGGATTTACTGGATCTGTCTATGGTTTTTCTTTGATGAATCGATTGATCAGTCTCATAAATGTTAGAAAATGGGGAAAAATTACCATCTCCCAGATTCCAAGGTTCCAAGTCTTCAAACTGCTTGTTTTGTTTGGTCCAAAACCCAAACACATCCAATTCATTATAAAACAGAGAAAGACTTTGAAAAGTTGGAAATATTATTTTCAGCATTTTTGCTTGACAATCACCTGATAATCGAAAAAAAACAAAACAAAATCTATCCAGCACAACACACATTTGCTCAATGAGACATATCAGTAAGACTTGGGTAATCTGAAAATCCACCACTCACACAAATCCACCCACACAGACAAACCAATAGCAGATGCTCACACTGCGTCTTCTGTGGCAGAGAATTGAATTAAGAGAGACTGAGCCAGTTACTAATGGTTTAATGCTCCACTTGTCTATTGTACTTCATGCCCTTTGGCCAGAGAGCGGCTCCACTGCCAGTCCATTGTATCCTCTCTTGGCAGCCCTTTCAAACATCCCAGGTTTGCTCTCTATTCTGTGCCAGGGCATTGCCTGGCACCCAGGTGCCCACTCAGCCAAATGGGAATGACAGCGGGCGCACTGCCAGCCGTGCAAGTTGAAATGTCAGGAGGGCTGGCAGTGCGGGGGTCTGACAAACAGATCATGCCATGTCGGACCAGCGAGGTGGGCAGAGACAGGAAAGGCTTGTAAAGGCTGGATCGGACTTCAATAAGCATGAAACACTGTGATGTAATATGGAGGGATGCCTTCTGGGAAGCACTGACCTGCTCGCCTCCGCTGCCAGACAGACAGGGTTCAGCTCAGGACATAAGACAGAGAGCACAATACTGCAAAGAAATATGATCTGATAATTGAACAAGATGGTGGCCAGCATTATTCAGTGCTCACTTTTTTCCTCCCTGCAGGTTTGTTTGTGATGAGCGGCGCCATCATCTACACGGTGATGAGTCCGGAGTGGGTGTCGGAGACATACGCCTTCGGCTACTCCTACATCCTGGCGTGGGTTGCCTTCCCTTTGGCGTTGATCAGCGGACTCATCTATGTCATCTTAAGGAAGCGAGAATGAGCCATCACTCCATCCCAGTGTTCCCAGTAACCCCCTGCCCAGCTGCAAGTGTCACCAGTCCCCCTCTGAAGTATAAGTTCTGATGCCTGAGTACCAATGGCCAATGGAGCCACCAGGCCAATACACCCAGATCACAGCGAGGGGGGGTAATACCAAAAATCTACATGCAAACCAACACAAAAACAACCAATACTGTCTCAGTTAAAAGATGTATATAGTATCTATGGTTTAAAACCTATTTATAACACTTTTTACATATATGTACATAGTTTTTGTGTTGCTCTGTCAACGGATACTCGTATGAGCTTTGTTTTAGCTGATTAAGTGCCTTGTGTTTGTTTGTAATGATGAAATAATTAGATGCTATTTTTGTTGTGTTTTCTTTTTTTTGTTGCCTTTTTTTGTTTTGGTAATTGCCAAAGAGAAAGAATTAGTAAAAAAGAAAAAAAGTTTCCTTGAAGTATATTAACCAAAGTGCATGTATAAAAATAGAAGGGTTAGAAGAAGAGGATCTTTTGATGGTCTTGCTTTACAAAAAGAGTGGTAACATCCAAGATTGTAGCATAGCCATGAAATATAGATTTGGTCCTGTTCTATTTGTGAATTTGTTGAAGTTTCAATGTTTTTATTTTCGGTATTTTTCTATTTCTTATTTTCAACAAAAGATGGTGCTATGTATTTATCATTCCTATTACTGATAGCAATCATTTACAACAGAGTTACTTTGTTATTGTTTAGAGTCAAAACAGCTTGCCATGAATTAAAGTGAGAATCAGACAGAGGTACACATGTACATACAGTGCCTGACTGCTTCTTTAGGGAACACAGCCTATTTCACATTGCAGTGCCTGATTTTTTTTTTTTCATCAGCTACTGTAAAAATAATAATAATTGAGTTTGGAGTGGTATATTGATGAAGTCAAAAGTCATTTGGAATGTCAGTATTATTCTGAAAGTTTGTGTTGGAGTTGGATCACAGTGAAATTACTTTATATAAGCTTTATTTATTCGCCTTCCTTTTCCCTCATTCTAATGTGTGTTCACCTGTTGAAGTCTCGAGAAGCCAAATTGCCGATTTAGAAGAATGCCATAAAAAAATAACACCGTGGGGCATTAAGAAAAAAGTATACATTTAACATTACTAGAAACAAATGCCACCAATTTGAAGCCATATAAGATATAAACACCGGATGACAGGAAAAACATATTTAGTATTAACTCTATATGTGAGAAAAAGGACAAAAAGGTTTGCAGTGGTGATACAAATGTCTGTTTCACATACTTGAAGTTTGACATGCTGCAGTCTCTGCCCACTGACGCCTAGATGTTTTGCCCTTCTACTGTATAAAACACTGTTTCTATGTTGTGCATAACAGATGTTTATGACAGTCTAGCCTAAAACACTCACTTACTCAATAAAACTACTCTCACATTATCTAATACTGTGTATTCCACTGTTACAAGGGACTGGATTCATGCTAATACTTGCATGTGGAGCTAGAAATTACATAATGCAGAATTTCAAGTCAAGTTTCCTAGGCTGTTATGCTGTCTGCCTGCAAACTACAAAAGCTTCATGTGGAAAAACTGTCAGGAAATGGGAATAGACACTAAAATTAAAGCAAATTCTGAACCATTTGTGGCGATGAATCTGTTATGATGGACAGTAGCTGCATGTTCACATGCTAAGAGACAAAGAGATCAGCATATGAAATGCAGCGTGCAGCATTTAAATTCCTGTGTACAGTCAAGCCAAGGAAGTCTATCTTACAGTATGATATCATACGCTGGTAGATCAAATAAACTGCCCTGTGCATGTGGTTGCAAAGGCTGTATGTGACTAGTGTTACACGCGCTGTGGCAAAGGCATGGTGGTTTGCACCCGACGCCAGATATCCAAAACATGCAGCTAGTGTTTCAGTGTCAAGAGTGTCTCTCCTAGCATCAGATATAAGAGGAGTTGTCTTGAACACTGTAAGCAAGGATCTGTCCTCCACCTCACATCCCCTGTGAGATCGTGCAGCTTTCCAAAACAGAGCTGTGTTGTGGTGGATTGAAGTATTTAATTCAGAGCTTACACTAACTAGTCTGCTGTGGTTTTTCAGCATGATTTTCATTATTGGGTTCAGTTAGAGGAGACTGCCTCTAATGACAACTGCCCGGCTATTTTGTGTAAAACGACAGCGTTCAGTTGTCTATGCCATGTTTACACCTAAACTTCCAGATGCTCTTGTTATTACAAAAGCTACTTTGAGTTTAATCATTAAAGGATGTTTCTTACCACCACAATGGAGCTTTTTGTGTCTTTCAATAACACTACACAATACATTTTTGGAGAAGCAAAACCTGCCTGTTTCAGTGATGGAAGAGTCAGCTGTCACAACCTGTGCTTACAGATTATGGCTAATGGTTTGTGATGATATCTGTTCCTTTTAAAGACAACAGTCAGCGGATAACCAGCACTTCTGCACTGAGCTGATGATAGGTATCTTCATCTCCAGCAATGAAAGAGTACTCTCAGAAGGAGGCGTCTTGTTACAGGCCTGAGAGGTCACAGCCTCCTACTGCCTCCCCCAATCTGACATACTAGCACTGGTTGAAATGGTATGATATGATGATCACAAATTTCTATATTCTGTTCTTTTTGGGTACATACATTAACACACATAAGATCTTTACATATTTTTAGGTTTGTCAGGTAGTTTATCATGCCCTGTACAATACCGCCATCTAGTGGCTGCATATAGTAACAGCAACAACATTCCTATATATCACACCAGGTTAGCAAAACACTGCCTCTATGTGGTAGAATATGAGCACTACAATTAAATCTACAACCTACCATGATGTTCTGGATGGAGTGGGGAGACTCTCAGTGGCTTAGTAGATAATTTTTTCATATTAAAATGTGTTAACCCTCATTAATTCTATATACGATCATTAAGTCTTGTCTAGAACTCAGCTTGTTTGTGTGGGTGGAGACCTTCTACTATTAGTATGCACGCATGTGATAGAGTGAGGTGATTTCTCTTACTTGTCTGCTCTCTATTACCCTTCAGTCAATCTAATGAATGCTCCTCCTCCAGAGCCATTATGAAGGCTTTTATGGCACAACACATCATTAGTGGAAAAGGCAGACAACAAAGGACTCTTCCATATTTGATAAATGATTTGATAAATTCAGACAAAACATGATAAAATCACAAAATTGTTACAAAATTAAATATTCAAGAAAGGGGTATGGGAAAAGGCATATGGTGGATAAAACTGATCAAAAACATCTTAACCTTGATCTATCAGTTCCATCGCAGTAAGTGATAGCAGATTTAGAAAAGCTCTGTGTCACTTACAAACAATTAAAAACATGCAGATCTGGAAGATGAGATGTAGCTTACAGACACACTTTACCAGCTGGCCAATGAGCAGATCCAGTGGAGCGCCAGGAGGTGAGTTCAGATCAGGTCAGTTGACAATCAATGAAATGAGACGGGTGACAAACTAAAGGAAAAACCAACGTAGTGTTTTCATAAGGTGTCACCTTATGGGCCACCATGAGCGTCCACAGCCTCAATGCTAATTGGCATATCATGTATTCTTCAAGTTTCTGGAACAAGAGGGATGACCACCATTATTCCATTCGATGATTTGATGCAGAGCACTGTCTAACACAAAATCTCCCATATGTGTTCATTTAGGTTGAGATCTGATATGATTAACATCATTTTTATACTCAAATATGTATATAATATATAATACTATTCAAAACTATAGAAAAAGAAGTGCAATGCATGTGAGCAAGGTTCTCTCTCTGATAAAAAATGTCTTGTCTCTCTAATCTGTATTATGCCCCTTCACCTAAAATCTGTATATGTCTAAACTAAGTAAACCTCCACGCACACGCACACGCACACGCACACGCACACGCACACACACACACACACACACACACACACACACACACATACACACAAAGACTACAAATGTGTGGTGGGACAAAGCAGACGGACACCAGACATATTCATCACGTCATCCTGAACCAACACCAGTCTGGAAAGAATTGTTTAGTCCCTGTCACATTAACTATAGTGATGGTGATAGAGCAACATTCTGTCATAGCTTGCCATTGGATTTAACCACCGCCTAGTTTTTAGCAGTTCAATGAACAACATAAACTTCGGCCTTTAGACACCAATTGTCCATTGGCACATGTGTAAAAGTAGAAAAAGAATGACTTAAAAAGAAGAAAGCACTAAATCTGTGCATCGGGTCTATCAAGTATTGACTGATACGCATTATTACCTTAGTGCTTAATAGGTGTCTGGGGGCTCGACACATCATTGCTTTGCCATCATGGGGTCAAAGACAAGCTTTTAAAACAATCACTTTTCCCATTAATGCCTTAAAAACTCCCCCTGTCTTGTCCTATCTCATCCAATGTCACCATCACCCCCCTTCTTCTTCTTTTTTTTTTTTACCTCAAGCCTGGGAGATAATATTTTCTAATTTCTGGAACACAATGAGGGGGATGCAAACAGAAGGTCCACCTTAATCTATCACAGCTCCTTCAAGGGTGCAGGGGTGCACAGTGACAGGCACAAAATCGTAGAGCCGGTGGGGAGGAGGGCAACAGAAGCAATTAAGGCTCATGAAATGCAAATGGTGCTTTATGTAAGGGGTTGAGGTTGGGGAGGAGGGTAAGGTCTCTCCTAGTCTTGCTGCCATCTGCTTGCTATCACCACCAGTGGAAGAACCTCTGGGTCTTGGTAATTTGTAGCTTTAATAATTTTCTTCCTCAGCTGGAGAAGAAAGAAGGAGATGTGGCTGAAGGGGCTGAGGACATGCAGCTGGCTAAGATTAGATTTAGATTAGCTAGTCAGATCACATGGAGATCTGACCTCTTACACTTTAGCATGGGCATAAACACACTAGCATGTTCACATGCAAGCATGTGTACACATGCATCACATGTGCAGGCATACACACACATTCAATTCCACTCTCCCTTCCACCCCTACACAATACTTGCCTATGCGGCATCAAAGTTGACCCTGATCCAAGGTGTACTTCTAGCCCAGTGGGTCCATAAATCCCTGAGGATGTCTGGAGGTTAGTTAGGAACATGATCCCTGGCCACTGGGGGCTGAGCCATAACCCCAAGAGCGGATTCAGGACCTAACTTTCCCTGGAGCACTGTTTGAAGGGGTCAAAGTGGACACAGTGTGTTTTTTTTGTCTTTTTCCCCAATGACACAGCCATTCATTTGTCATGTGGAACCGAGGGACCTTATTGAACCTACAGACCCGACACTTTCTAATACCCAACGTACCAACCCATTCCCAAGGTCAAGACTGAGTCAAGGTCATCACCACACATATGTGACCCCTGACCCTGTGGGCGTCCATCATGCTCAGGAAATAAAGCCGAGATTGGCAGCTGATGTAGTCAAGGACTAAATCAACTTCACATTCTGCCATACATCAAAATCACTTCCAGCAACATGCACTGACACTGAGGGCCTAATCGCTTTATCTACATTGAAAGAGCAGAGAAGATGAAGCAGCGTGCTGGACATGGCACAATCAGATGGACTGTGCTGTCTTTGTGGTGGATTTAGAGCAGTGGTGTGGAAATGTGCCTCTCAGAATATGGCTGGATGATGACTTAAACATCAGTGAATGCACCTTTAGCAGCTGAAGGACATCAGTGAACATATGATAGCCAACAAAACGGCTCACTTTCTGCCTCATGAAACTGAAGTGGCGCTTGTAACACTTATATTGACAGGGAAGTCAAGCCACACACATATTTGAATCTGGGGGATTTCTTAAAAGATCAATAAATTGAAAAGCCTTTGACAGCAAATCCACCTAATACAGATCATATGTGTCATAGCATAAATGACCGTGCATGAGCAGCATGATGGCCACATGCCAGTCAAAGCATAAGCCTGGACCTTCACTTCAATGCAACCCGCTCTGAAAGGGGTGTGACAGGAATCTCTCAGCTCTATATGCAGCAAATAACACAATGTGCCATTGTAATTATAGCATTTAATACTCACACCATACATGTACACAAAGGCACACATAATTTGTTGCAAAATTGCAAGTCGACAAAAAGAGCAGCCAGAAAGTTTCATGCCTGGCTTTAAGCAGAGTGAACAAGGCTGATTTTACTCTGTGCAGACAGACAGAAAGAAAGACCCACAGATGACTCTCATGAGGTCCAGTAAAGCTTCATACTGGTCGGATGGACGGCAGTAAAAGCTCTCTGAATGGTGTAGATGAAGCCTCATAAATTCCCCAGGCAATAACAGAGCCTCCTATGAGAATGGAATACTCAGCAGCCAAGTTATTTGGAGCTGTGCTGCATTTTAAACTTTGACAGCCCCATTCACTGGGGGCTAGGTAGATACTTTTTTTTTACAATCTCTCC